TCCTGGCAAATATTCCAAGGACCCATCCAAAATTCGTAGATCAAAAGACGAGAAAATCTACGAGTGATCATCTGGAAGACCATTTCGTGAGAAGAGAACTCATCAACTAAGAATTTAAAAAATCAAGCCCGTCATATCATTCCAACCCTCGTGCAACATAGTGCACCGCACACACTTCTAAGATTCAGCAAAGGCAGTGCGTGGGTGCATGTCGAAACACTTGGCCATTCCGCAGTCCATGAGCTTGACTGTGCTGTCCTCTCAAAGTGCTGCACACCCGATTGCCCACAAGACATGCCGCTGCAGCCCGCAGTACTTGAACTCACACTTCTCGAAGATCAGGACATTCCCGTGCAGCACTCCTCAAACCAAGCGAGACAACAGCTTAAGGTAGCCTTAGCAAGCCTTTCATGGCAAGAGATTTTCGCTTTGGGCCTGGCAACTGGCCGCGGCCTTTCTTGAAATGTTGACCCCTTCCATGACCACCATGCACCGCTTTTGTAGCTGGCCTGGTTTAAAGGTCTTTTCTGGCGGCCAAACGTTCAGTCGCGGTTCGTCTTTCCACAATGCCACATGTTTTCAGTCGGCCACGCTTCTTTTTGCAGGGCCACGTGATGTCGGTCACTTGTGCTTCTTCGAAGCATTTAGCTGCGTTGAAGTGCCACATGATGTCGGTCACCTGTGTTTCTTCGAAGCATTTAGCTGCAATGAAGTGCCACATGTTGTCGGTCGCTTGCGCTTCTGCGAAGCATTTAGCTGCTTTGCAATACATGGTGTCGGTCACTTGCCCACTGCCACTCGCGCCGCCGAAAGCTGCATCCACTGTCACTTTAAAAATTCCAACACGACACCACACAGATTGAGCGGCAAATGAGCATTTTCCCCCGTTTTTTAAATCCAAAATAGCATCAGTGCAAGCTGAGGTCCCATCCAACAAGTTGGTGAAATGGACACAGAAGAATCTGGCTCGAAGTCCGAATTCCCCGGGCTCACTCCTTCCCCAGGGCAATTCCCCCGAAAGCCACAATCGTTGACTGATTGAAACCAGGCAGTCGCCGCTTGCGCGGGTGAATATTTGCAGCTTGGCTGAGGACACTCCGCAGCTCCTTCGTAGATCATGAAGCTGCTTTCTTTGTAAGAAACGAGTGTCATGCTCTCTCCGGAGGGTCTCCAGGTTGCGTAGATCTGCTTCCCTACGACGCAGCCCTGCACGGACTTGCCGGCGCGGGCCGGAATGCTCACTGTCACTTCCTTGCTCGTTTCTGCTGCCCTAGCAGATTCAAGGCAAAACTCCTTCGAATACTCTGCCCCTACCGAAGCTGATCCCCCGGCCGACACCCCACCCCCCCCCCCCCCCCCCCCCCCCCCCCCCCTTTCATACGTGACAGACACTAAAGCTCACGGACTTGCACTCCTCGTTGTCTGACTTTGCAGGCTCACAGCTTCCCACGTTGTGACAGCAGGTGTTCGGAGCAAGCGTACAGCTTCCTTGATATCCTGATTCTTGCTTTGTCAGTGTTCCTTCGAACCCTCCCAAGCAGAAGCAAAACTTCATTGTCTGAGAACTCAACATTCGGAATTTTCGGAATCGCCAGACATCGGTCCTTCCAGGATATCTCGTCACAGCAAAGAGCAGGGCTTGAACCAGCATTTTTTGGCCGCATAAGGCTTGGGCAAGTGGTCTGACGGGCAGCTAAACGCACTGCAGGCAACGTCGCAGCAAGCATTCCGAGTTGAGCCAGCTACGCCGGCGACATCCGGTTTGGGCAAGTAACCGGCCGGGCAGCTGAAGGCGCTGCATGTGGGGAGGACAGGATCCATTTGCCAGCTTTGATCCGTCCCAGCCGGATCATTGAACTCACAATTGTCTGTTCTGGCAACATCCCCATTGCTTGTTCCTGGGCTTCCCGTGATGTCCAAGCACCCATGCAAAGAATTCCACAAGAAGTCGTTGGAATGCAGGTGCCAGTGCTGTTTGGTGTTTCCACCTGCATCACCACAGTCCCAAATGGCAAATCTGTCTCCTGTCTGCGGTTCTGTACTTGGATCATCGCCAATCACGTCCAAGCACTTGCCACTGGCCCGATTTTCCAGCCTGCCAAAAGCACGCTGCTCGCCACCTTCCTCGAACAGCGTCACATCTCTCCACTTCCAGAACTGGTCGCTTGTGGAGGAGTCTGCTTGGCAGTCCCAGAGCTGGACATCAGCGTTGCTCGAAATCCCAGGGCACATGCTTCAGTTGGAAGTGGTCATGGGCATGTGCAAAAAGGCGTTGGCATACAATTGCCACGCATGCAAGTAGCGTTGCGTGCATCGTATGTATCCAGGTCAACTGATTATGCCTGTTCAGAAGCGCATATGCTCGCTTTACACTCCAGGCCCGAAAATAGCTGTTTAACAAAACCCGACCCAAGCAGCGCACAGCACTCTTTGATCTGCTCATCGTGTGCAGTGAATTATTGTAGCTCTGCTTCTGGAGCGAGGGCCGTGGTCTTGTGCATCGGTGTCTAAGTGCACTGTAGCAACATCATGAACATGGAACCCATAACCCCTGAATGCTCGACAACGTGGCCTTCCGTTCTGAATTAAGACAATCTAGCGCCTCGTTGTGAGACGCCAATTTAAATTTGGAATCGTACTTAAAGTCATACATGTACATCCGGGCTCTTCCCAAGCTTGAACCCAAGCCTAAAGCCGAAAACCGAAACTGGTCGGTACACGAGCTGTCCGAACCATTCAAGTTTGGCAAGCCCAGGAAGCGTGCAAATAACGATCCACGCGCAGCGCCGAGGCCAAGGTTGGCTTTTGGTGCTTCCGGTGAATGTCGGATGCATCCGTAGCTCCCTGACAGAAGATGCACGACAAGAAAGTAAAGCAGCGCCAGTGTTGCTCCATGCACGGAGGCTTCTGACAACGCAACAGCTGTGTGCTTAAAACTGAAAACATTTCTAGATGGTATGCGTTCCCATAAACCCTAAAGCCTAAACCTTGAGCACCCTGTCGTGGACACACAACCCCATGTTGTCCTACCCTCAATCAAGACTACGCAAGCGTCGACGTGCATTCTGATGACTTTTTGCAGGGCTGGTGCCAGGCTCCGGGTTTCCGAAACTACTGCCTGTGAAGCTGTCACGCTGTCTCCAGCACTTGCCAAGCTTGCAAAGAGCTCAGAACCACCGGAAGCCACGTGCTGCCCGAGACCTGCCAACGTGATGGAGGAAAGGTGACTGATGCTGAGAGTCTGCACATGAGCTGTTCATGTCAAGCAACATGGCACAGCGGCCTCTCAGCAATGGCCTCGCGGGTTCGATAGCCACACTCCTCCTGTACGCAGAGAGATACATGAAGCTACTCTATCGTGGACAGAAGTCGCGGCAAGATTGGGCGAATTTGACGCAAAGGGATTGCTCTTTCAACGAAAGGAAGAATCCGGCAGAAGGCTTCAAACAAACATGCCTGGAAAATGAAGCGGCGCTCACAACTCAGGTCAACTCAGCGACGGCCTCACTCCCGCGCAAAAGCAGCGGACAGAAAACGTGCGTTCGTACAGCGATATGAGGTTTAACCCCTTGAATCTCCACCCTTCCTCCTCAAACTGAACCCTTGTCTAACCTCCCCCTCCCCTCTCTGTCCCTCTCCCTCTCCCTCTCTCTCTCTCTCCCTCTATCCCTGTCTTGTCCTGCACCAGAGCCTCCATGGCTTGATTGGCACACTCCTTGCGCAAACCTCAGTCGCAACCAATGATACGAGAAAGAGATGAGAAACGCGAGATGAAATCCGCCGAGGCCGGAGGCCTGAGGCGTTTAGAAGTCTAGGACCCCTTTGGCCCGGAATGGGTACTGACAACCTGCCGGGACCAAGAGGCCCTTACCCCTCCCCCCTCTCTTTCTCTCTTTCCTCGACCCCCTCCGACCCTCCGCCCCCCCTCCCACCACCCCCTCGACCCTCCCCCCCCCCCCCCCCCTCCCCTCGCCCCCCCCCCCCCCCCCCCCCCCCCCCCCCCCCCCCCGCCCCAGGCCACTAAATTAGAGGTCCTTCAGAATAGGACACTTCATGAGCTACATGGTGAGTCTTTGCCGTGCCGAGGTTTGTGGGGGTGCCTGCGGCTCGCTTTACGAGAACTTATTCTTGGGACTTACTCGTTAATAGAAATAAAAAGCAAGACCAAACGAAGAATACATACACTGCCGCTCAAGAAATCTTGAATTCCCGGGAGCTGTCGGAAGTTGTTTACTGCTTGTCATTCTCATGTCCGGTTAATTTGTCATCTCACCTTACCTTGGACTCTTCATGTGTGTCCGGGAAGCCTTCACTGATAGCTCCATTAGCTCCGTAAAGTGGACCTCGACCGACAGAAGCTAAGCGTCTAAAAGAGGGAGCACTACAAGGAAGCGATACATGCCATCAAGTTTTTGTGTCTTCAAATGAGATAGATCCCTTTCTGAAACCTTAAGCATCCAAGATCCAGAAGATTTAAGAAGATGATTTCTTTCGAATGAAGATAGAAAGTTTGATAGAAAGCATTTCATCCCTAATGAAATGTTGGGATTTCCAGACGAAAAGGACAGGCACACAAGTTCTTTGTGAGCTAGCGGCTAGCGACGGAGGTCTTCTCTGCGCACTCACTGTGGCCGGGCCGGGCGGGGAGGGGTGCTGTAGGAAATGGAGCCAATGTGCCAGCACAAAATGCAAACAGTTGTTAGTCAGGGCCCGTGCCGAGAGCCCTCGGCGCCGTGGTGCCTTTTGCACCCCCAGCAAGGAGAGTCGGGCCTGACGCGCTCAGTGCACCCATGCTTCCTGCAAACTCACCTTAGACTGACTCTATCAGTAGTGCACATTCAGCCACATTTTGGTTACAGCAACTTGCAAGCATGATGCAGCATGAGCTCTTTGGGAGCTGTGCGCGTCACCACATCTTGGCTCTCAGGAAAACGTACAAAAACATTAAACTGAGCCAGCGACAACCACAGATTTTACACAGGTCACACGGCCGCCCGACTGTCGGGTGTCACGCTTTGTTCTTAGCGTTCTGTAAATCAGTAGTTCGGAAAGCTTTCTTGAATTCAGTGTAAGACCCCAATGACCGCCGTTGTCAAACCTGTGACATTACTCCCCGAGTAAACGCCGCCCGCAATAGGGTTTGCATATATGGTGACAAAAACTACGTTGGAGACGTGAGATGTCATTTCGAAATAACACTAGTTCCACAAAGCCCTACTACCACACCACCGTTCGCACTTTTGGAAGTCATCGCTCGTTCAAGAGGGTTACGTTCTGTTTCATTCCCCCCCGCCCCCTCCGAGTTAGCAAGCGAGCGGTGGACTGTTCACGTCATGGCTGCCTGTACACGCATTGTCTTGAATGGGACACCAATGGGCAGCATCGATGGGGCTCCGATTTGGCTGCGTTGGGCCAAAGAGGGGCTCAGCGACAGCAATCTTTTGCCAAAACCTGACCTAGGATCGCAAGACGACGCAGTAGCGTTTGGACACCAATTGGTAACAACAGCTGTATTCCATGGAAACACAAAAAAATACCTTAACCGAACACTACCCCCCCCCCCCCCCCGAGTGAGTGCTCTACTACGAAAGCCAGTCAAGCCTGCACCATCGCCAGCTTGTGCGCAAGCGCGAGGGCTCTTAAGGGAAGCCGTGACTGGCTCATCCCTCGCAGAGAAGAGAGAGCAATTGTTCTCCTGCAGGGCCGTTACATGGAATTCACGGAATATGTTCCACGAACCGCTCGCATAGATTCGCAGTGTCCTGGTTGCGAACATTGAGTGGCGGCACAGCCTCCTGACACAGTCTCTCAGATCTCCAGACAAGACAGAAGATGACAGAAAGCTCAATTTGGGGGGGTCAGTCTGAGGCTGTGTAAGGCTTTGTTCGCTTCCCCGCTGCACCTGAAAACATCTGCAAACTCGTGTTTTGCCAACTGAAAGAGTCAAAGGCACAATGTGCACAAGCAGCGTGGGCTGCATAGGCTGCATACAGCGTCCTTCTTGCTTGGCACATGCTCAACCTCCCACTTCAGGAGGTTGGACTGGTTCCTGCCGTTGCCACAACTTCCCGACTATCCCGACTTGAGAAATGAAATGCCGCGGGTTCCCAGTTCTGGGATGGATCACTGGCCCGGCAGCCTACAAGACCCTCACAAGACCTTTTGAAAATTGAGCACGAACGCACCATCATCTGGCTAGTGCTTTGCCAAAAGGGGTATGCTCACGCCGGCAAATTCTGGTATTCACATGTATTCAACAGCTTCAGCCTCGCCTCTCGGCCAGCTTGGCATGCTTTGACTCGCCTGCAGAAAACAAGTTTTGGACCAGTGGGGCAAAGTAAAAACTGCGACGTACGAGCTTTGCCCAGCCCAGCCTGTAAAGAAGGTTTCGCGGTCATTGCTTTGGCTTGCAAGAATCTTCGACGAGTTCCTGTCACGGCGGCTGGCTGAAGACTTGGGTGTACAGTCAGCCGCGATCGATTGCCCTGCCCCAAGCCCGATCCCATCTCAAAATCATTGGGTGCATTGCAACTGCCCCAGAAGGGCCACCTGGCAGCTATACGCTGCTGACGCAGGTCGTTGGCCCAAACGTCCACGTCGTCCATGCCTCGTAAGAGGTGCAAATTGGAGGCTGGCAGAGAAGTTTGGAGAACCCATCGGAATCTCGATTTCATTCCTGGAAAATCGTGACTGTTGGCAGCTGCGCTGAATTTGCCCCGCTCAGAGGTCACATCATTCTTAAACGAGGTTCGTTAATGCACCCCCCGCGCCTGCACCACGAAGGCCTAGCACATGCTAGCACAAGGGCAGTAGCCCCAGAAACAAGAAGCGAACACAGGAGCAGCCTATCGCTGAACATCAGGTCGGGCTTCCTCGACTTTGCTTTATCTTCTCCAGATTAAGTGCTGAAAGATGTTTCGGCTGTCGAAGCCTCAATGTCAAAGCCTGAAACTGCACAGAGGCGTGGAGACTCGCAGCGAGTCTTCACATGTCTGGACGATCATCAAAGGTTCACGAAGGTCTATGAAAACTCGAGCCAGGGCTGCCAAGCAGATTCTTGGCAGGCGTCGGCGCTGCACGCGGAGGCGGTGCAATTTCCTCCCAGAGACGTGCGGAAGGCAAACGCAGCAAATGCGGCAAGGACGTCCTGCTCTTAAAAGTGAGTTGAACCTCAAAAACACCACTCAGCACGAGCCATGGTCAGAAGGCAGATGGCATCTTGCGGCAAGGAGTTTGGTGAACATACCTGAATAACATGAATAAGGACCGGCAGGGATTCAAGATACCCAGCAAAGTTTCCCCAGACATCCCGGGTTGTATTCATCCTTTGAATACAACTGAAAAAGCTGAACGAGGTCCCAGAACTGGTTCAGACTGCAACTAAAGCCGAGTTAAAGGAATGATGTCCCCGCGCTTGATTCCGAATGCGACTACAGCCAGGTAAAAGGAATGAGGTCCCCGACCTTGTTTCAGAATGAGAATAAAGCTGAGCAAGATGAATAAGGAGGACCATCCTCTTCACGAGTTTCAGTAAACGCTACTCGTTTAATGCTTAGGCCTACCCTATTCCTAAACCCTTTTCGTTGAAGGTTTAGGCTGAAACCCTAAAGAATTCCACTTAAAATTAAAGAGTTTCCCTGAACGCTACGCCTTTAATGTTTAAGCCCAAACCCTGTTCACGCGCTCCCTTCCCAGCACTGCAACTTTAAATCCTTGCAGCTGCTTCAATATGACTGTTACACCTACATGCGTGGCCTAGAACGCAAAGAGAGAGAAGAGGCTTGTCGATTTTGCCTCCAATCTCTGACTCAAAACCGATACAGCAACCAATCCCCGCACTCGCTACAATCAAGACTGACAAGCACACATGGAAGACCCGACTCCTGCCATTACCAGCTAATGCTTGCGAACAGCCTTTACATCATCTTGCAACCGCACAACCTCCAAGACCGCTTAGTAGCTCGATAATGTTTCCTAACAACCCAGTCAATAACTCTCAATGCTCGAAGGCTGCAATCTCCGCTGCTTGGTCTTTGCCTCAAACGAACCAGCTGAGCTTCGTCCGGGCCACAAATTGGTGCATGTAAAATTCCAACCCCAAAGGTCCTGGTGCGTGGTCTTTGTCACGGCAGTGGTCGGGTTGCTGCGCATGCTTGAGTCCTGCAATCGCACCACCGTGCCAGAGGACCCCCCCCCCCCCCCGGCATGTTGGAATTTTGTCCCTTGAGCATGCCGATGTGTCAGTGTGAGCTGCCCCAAAACCAGAGTCTAGGCATTGACCTGTAGTGGCGGCAAGTTTTGCAACAACTGTCCGGAGGCTGTCGCATCTTCGTAGTTGCTGCAGCGCGACCCTAGCCGGCAAACATCTCAACTGCTTGTGCCATTGTCAAAGGTCGATAAAACCTGAGACCGGTGCGAATGGCGCACACGTCCTACAATATGGGCCGTACATGGCTGCAGGTTGTACTGCTGAACTTTCTCCGGCCCCTGTGCAGGGGATGCACTCGCAGAACAAGTTCACTTGAAAGAAGGGCCTACAAAAGCCAGGTTCTGCAGCAGCGAGTGCAGTGTGGGAGGTGGAGATCGCGGGGGTCTGGAACAGCATGTACAAATCAGCAGACAGGATCGGAATTCACGGCTTGACGAAAGGGAATGACAGCGCAACGCAAGCGATGAACAAAGACAACACAAGTCTTCCGACGGTCTTGCTGGCGCAGCACAGAGAGACAGAGAGAGAGAGAGAGAGACGGACAGAGACTGACGGACAGAGAGAGAAAGAGAGAGACTGACAGACAGAGAGAGAAAGAGAGCAAGAGAAAGGCAGAGCGAGTGAGAGAAAGAAAGATGAAATAACAAAGAAAGAGAGACAGTGCTATAAGGGCGGCTAGCAGGAAGGCAAGGTTAGGGCAGTATCCCCTCTAAATATGCACACACATATAGTTCAAGTTCCACCAAAGGGTTGCCCTCGCGCCTGTTCACCAGCGCCGAAGAGGCGGCCGAATGTCGTGGAAAAGTCCTCGCTCGGCGAGACCCACCCCGCTCGACAGCACTAGCTGCATCTGATCTAACCCTCGTTGGACTGCTGCAAGTTCATTGAGCAGTTTCCACATGGCCACCGCTCGCTCATGCAATTGTTTGCCGTCCTCCATGTTCGCTCGTTTTTGTGTGGTCATCTGATCAGGAGCGCAAGAGCGCTCAAACCGGCCACGGCACGTTGGTCGATATTGTGGAGGGCTTGATGTGTGCTGTTTTTAGCTTGGCCTAGTCCCCATATGTCTTGTCTGCCTCTCCCCTGATCATTGCATAGAAAAACGTGGCTACCTGGGTGAAGCAATAGAGCTGCAGCATCGGGAAAGCACAGTTGCAAAGTGCAGCTTGTTGCGTCTCGCAGCTTGTGACCACGAAAGGGACACAGGTTAGACTGAGCAAACAAAAGCAAATTACACCACCGAAGACCCCAAACAGTCAAAGGCACGTCAAAGAAACTGTGGAGACAACGGGAGACAAAGGGAGACGAAGGGAGACGAAGGGAGACGAAGGGAGACGAGGAGCACAGCAACCCGGCAAAGCCACCCACACACCCACATGAAGGGAGACAAAGGGAGATAAAAGGAGACAAGGAGCCCAGGAACACGGCAACAGTCCTCAGAATGTCGGCAATCCTTAAATGAATTTAGCACCCCAACAGTAGACTGTTTGGGGAACAATTGCGAGATAAACTGCGACTTAAAGGGCGGGGCCAGGTGAACGAAACCTCTGCTAGGCTGTAGAGACTCAAGGCAAACGGAGCTGGCGAGGCGGGCAATGTAAGGACCAATCAAGCAAACATCTACAATCGAGCAACGTGCCGGGGGTGCGGGGGGGGGGGGGGGGTGCGGCTCGGGACGTCGAGGAGCAGCAGGTGGTGGTGGGTGAAGTCGGGGAACCTGAAACCCGAAACCTAAGCTTCCAAGCCGAAGCCCTTACGCGCACTCAACTGCCTCTAGAGAAACACCCGACCCGTTTTGGGAACCCGGTGCGCCATTTCGGTGAATGCCCAGGGAGGCGTATGACCGAGTCATCCTGAGCCACAAACAGGTTCTTGACCTCTCCACCAAAGATAGGACAGTCAGGCAGAATGAGGAATCGGCAACATAATTTGTGCAAGAGTCTTGCTCTGAAATACTGCAGACACACAGATTCGAGGTCGATTGTGGAAATGTTGATTGGAATACTGTACTGTTTATTGAAGCATTGTCAAGTCTATGCCTTCGGCATGACACCTAATGAAGCGGAGTTTCGAACCTGATCACGCGGAGTTCGGCACAGTGCTCAAACTTGCAGCGTTTTGTCCTCCAATGAAGGATGAGATAGCATCCGCTGCCTCCTGAGGGCGCTCAAGGAAGAATGTATGCGCCGCCTTGTCGAACACCTTCGTCTCAGCAGCTGGAAGCAGTGTCGTCCATCGATTGAAGCTCGGCTGGAAGGGAACTGCCTGATCTTGCTTCCCCCACATGATCAGCGTCTTGATAGGTTGCTCCGACAACGCCCGCACTGTTGCGTCCAGCCCGTAAAGGGGGAAGTGATTTGCGCTTTGGAAGAAAGCGTCAAAAGCATGCGGGTTGTTCTGCATCTGAAGTCTCTGTGCTTCCATCATCTGGTTTTCAAGCTCTGCAGACCCCTGGTGATCGTAGAAGTCCTTTCGCCATTCACCTTCTTGTCCAGACCTCAAAAACGGTCCGATACACCAGTGCATGCACGTCAAGCTCCGAAGCATCTTGATCATCCCTCCATTCATGAGGCCTGCCGGCGAAAGCAGCACCAGTCGCATGTTGTTCTCCGGTTTTGGTTTGTACTTCTCTAGATACAGAACCGCCAAAGCGCCTCCCATCGAGTGTGCAATCATATCGAGTGGCATGTCAGCCAAGCTCAGCTCAACAAGCAGTTCACGGAGCTGGTTGACATGGCCCTCTGCCCCGTAGTCCACCGCATCAGCTGCAGGCTGGGAAAACCCTCTTCCCATCAGATCATATTGCAAGACTCGACAGCCCCGTTGAACTAGGTCGAGCGCGATCTTGTCAAAGCAATACGAATAGGCGCCAATTCCGTGAACGCACACGACCAAGCGGCCTGTGTCGGGGCCTTGAAGGACGTAGTGCGTTCCCTTCTGAGACAATTTTCCAGGGGGGTTCCAGGCGGACATGTTTCGAGAGGACAAAGCTCAATTGTCAATAGCGGTTGAAGAGTGCAGGAAAGCGGAAGGAATTGATTTGTGGTACTGTCAATTCCGCCAGCAAGGCAGCGCTGAGAGTTGAACGGACTTTGAGGCATTTGAGGATGCAACACGATGACTATCAAAATAGCAAAATAGCAACCGTGTAGCCTGCAAGTGGAGCCCAAGCCTGCCGCGTACACATTTGACATGAAATTAAGTCTCCAACACCCTGCCGACCCCTTGTCACAGAATAGCAGCAACTGATTGTCCAGCAGGAAGATATGTACCCACATCACGTTGCCTAATCTGAACTCGACCTGCTTGCCGCGAAACTTGCTGAGCAAGCGCTCATTTTACCAACATGAAACCAGGCTTGTCTAGTCGGGAGCTGAGTGCTGTGCGTGCTGAACGAGTGTTGAGTGTGTGCTGCTACACACGTCAACTCGCTCTCAGCTCTACTGCACAGAATCCGCTCATAGATCTTGCTGGACTTTCCGAAGCGCCCTCCTGCGCAAATATCAAAAAGTTGAAGACGGTTCTGTTTCTGACACAGCATGGTGCATTCTTCCGAAGACGCGCCTGCGCTATTGTTTGAACAAAGCAGCTGTCGTGGGCTTTGCTGAAATTGGTACGCAATCTAATGATCCCCCTAGTTTCGCAACTCCTACTCTTGTTTTTCCAAGCCCAATTTCCCAACAGCAGCTGGCCTTGTCGAGCTCCCATTGGGGCTTCCCTTTGCAAGTCCTTTCGCACTACAAGATGCAGGGTTGCATGGTGTTTGAGGCTTGAGGATTCAAATGGATTGAAGAACTCTAATGCATGCCAGGGTCGAGGTGTCTAGGCAGCATCATGCACGCAGTTCCTTCATTACATTGTGGTTGCGAAGTGCTGCTGCCCGGGTCACAAGATGAAACTCTGAATTCATGCTTGACAGCATGACTCCTCAATCCTTCGAAGTGCGTGACTTCTCTTGCTTTGCAACATGCCGGAGGATGTTGCGTTGTTGCCGCTGAACAGTTTCAAGGGACATTGCCTACTCACAGTAGGTGGTTACATGTTCGATCAGCATCAAGTTTCCAGCAAGGAAGATGGGGCACGCTCAGGCAGCACTTTCTCGGCATGGTGTAGTAGCGTTCTGCAAATCGAGAAGGGAAAACACTCCTCGGCTGGCATCTGAAGCACACAAACTCACAACAAAGCTCATCCCTGGCATGCCTAATGCAACATGCAGGCGGCAGCACCGTTAAGAGGCGAAGTTATGCAGCCAAGGATCCGGATGGTCGGCTACTTTAGCTGTTTGGAACAAACCAGGAGGTCTTGGGCGCTAACAGGCTTATAAACAGTTGGCGCGGACCCCTGAATTCAGATGCATGGAAGATGTTGATGTTGCAGCACTACAAGTAAGTCAAAAGCTTGCCTCTTTCAAACTCAGAAAATTCACGCGTGCATACAACATGCTTCCACCTGAGCCCTTCTACTGTACCAAAGGCCGTTGCCAAAATCTGGGCTCCAACTATCTCCTCTCAATCGTGCAAAGGTTGTGCGATGCAAACCACACAAAGGCCTGCACGTCGTGACAACCCTAGTGGCCCTAGTGCCTGGTATGCTTGCATCTAAAAACATCTTGAGAGGAGATGTTCCGAGGCGTTTCCACGGGCGCACGGGCAGTCGCCTCTCCTGGATCACCTAGTCGGTGGATAGAAGACAAATTTGTCGGAGAAGACTTGCCGCAGGCTGTCGCCCAAGGAAGAATTGCATCCATTTTGTGGACATGCGAGGGCGCTCTGGGACGGCGCCTGCCGAGCTACTCCAGCCCTCGGGCACCAGTGTTTTGTCGGATCATGCTGTAATTTCACATGTTCTCGTTGAGTAACCCTATGACGAAAGACGCAGGCTGGAGAACAGGCAGTTCCAATGTCCCAGTACGCGTATTCCTCTGGACATGCCGTACCACCTCCACCCCCCTAAAGCAAAGCTTGCACCGCACGACCTGATCTACAGTCTCCAGTCTACTTGTCTGCAGTCGTGCTGCTGCTAGACACTGCTGTTACCCGCTTATCAGCAGCATCTGAATCTGCTGCAGTCTTTCCGATATCCACCAACTGCAAGGCCAAGGGGGTGAGGGCGTATGCTAACTATTTTCCGCAAGCAGTCCAGAGCCCTTGTTCAGAAGTCATCAAGAGTCCAGGTCAGTTCAAAAGATGTGCTGAGACGGGCAAGCTGCATGACTGTACCTCACATCACGACCTGAACCGAGATGAAGCGATGTTATTGCATGATGCTTCCGAGCATTTGACAAGGCAGGACTGAAGCCTGGACTCTTCTGGATGCGGATTCTCATTAGCCGTGGAAGATGCAACTTGCTTTGTGCAAGCGTGGCCTTGGTGGGCTATGGACATGGCCACAAACAGCACCCGCATCTCTTCCCATGTCCAGCAAGGCATGGAGCACTGAACAATCAAACAGTTCGGTCCTCTGTCCTTGTTCCGGACATGAGTTCGTCAGAGGACATGCATCCACTAGGGCTGTGACATGACAGGATTGGGCTACTCGGCTGTCCAAGCTTCTCGCCTAACATACAATAGCCCGGCCTTTCCGAAAGGCCTTTATTGGGCGTTTCCGATTTCGGGATGCAGGCGCCTCCATTAAGTCGCGGATCCAGTCACTGGTATCTCTGGCCTTCCACCATCACGTTCAGATCCCTTCAGGACTGGCCTTCCCAAGTAGTGAGCATGGCCCCTCTGCCCGAGAGCCCTGCAGCAGTTCCCCAGCATCTTCCAAGGATTCTGGGGGGCCGCACAGGCTCCGCACTCGCTATGCCGGCTGTCGATCAGTTGAAAGCTTTGTGCAACACTAGATCACTAGATGCCTACTGAGCATGAAAGCTAACAGGACGTAGCTGGCAACAGGAGACCATTCTTACCCAAGCTCACTACGGCCGCAACTCAGTCGCAGAGATGGAGCTGCTGTTAATTGCTGCAGTGGTGGTCTTCGGGTCTGGAGGAGCGTGCCCACGTTGTATGCACGCTACCCCAGACCTGAAAGCTCTAAACTCTAAACCTGGGCATGCTAATCCGACATCTGCCACTTTCCGCTCGAGGACTCGAGGTGTCAGGAGGATGTTACAGGGCTGAGTTGGAATGCTGGAAGGCACAAGAAGTCACAGGGCGTCACACGCAACAAGCCTTGTCATACCCACATAGCATCAAGTAACAAGTGCATACAAGCACCACTGCAGACTGCAAGCGCAGGTTTGCCACTACGGCATGGCTGCCTGCATGGAAGGGGGCTTCCGATCGCATCTCATATCATTCTGCAGCCTGTTCTGCTTCGAATAGCATCTTTGCGCAACCACGGCCACTGGACACACTACAAGTTAGGCCAAGAGTGCCGCGCCCGGTACACCCGGAGTACGCTTGCCGGCGGCGCTCGACGTGGTTGTAAAACAGCTGATGGAGATGGCCCCGGCTTCGTTTGAGGAGGGCTGGAATTGTCAGAAGTGTGTAGCTACGCATGTGCTGGAGGTCGGTGAGTTTGCGTTCAAGGCTTCACCATGGTCAAGTGTGGGCAACCTGTGGATTACTGGGCTCATCAGCATCGACCCTCAAACGAAACCACTGAGATGTGTACAGGCAGAGGGTGCTGAGGCATCCAGTCAAGGGAATCCCAAGGAAACTGATCACGAAGCTTTTCGCCGCGCGACCTCGACATGACAGACATGCTGTGGCCGATAATTCTGGTCCAGATCGTCTCACGCCAGTACTAAGCCACGAATCAACATGTCAGGACGGCCTCAGCGCCGGGCCATTATGCTTGGCTCGTCGGGGGAGACCATCCAACAGCTCACGCTTCGGTGAGTTCTTTCTCCTCTTTCTTGACATTGGGAAGTCGGTGGACCTTGGCCATTCGAAAGTCCACTGGCAAAAATCAAGCATAGAAGCCAGCAAAGCTGCATGGTGCTTGGTACGAGTACAGCCTCCAAAACAACAGGCTCCTAATCTCTGGCCTGCACGGAGCCATCCTCCCTGAGGTCGACCTGTGAGGCGGCGCAGAGCCCCAGGAAAGTCCCCCCCCAACTGTGCAAACAAGCGGTTTTCGAGGTTGGCATGTCGGCGCAACATTGTGCTGCCAGACGACACAGCAACAGCCGGTCATGCATCTGGGCTGCCTTAGCGAGTCGAAAACTGAGGTGCCGGCCAAAGCACGTTGCTCCAGCTCACTTTCCTGGGCCGGCACAGTCGAGAATCTAAACGGAGCGAGGTTGTTCTGATGCTGTGGATTTTGGATACTTTTCTTGGCTTTAACGTTTGAGGTTTTGCTGAGGGTTCACTTGCAGGGACCCTTTCCGGTCCGAACGCAGCCTAAATTCGAGGCGGTAATATTACCGCGGGAATTGCACCGCAGAAAGATGTGGCAAGTGTGGCGCTTTCCTAACATTCGACTATTGATTACACTGTTACTTGGATTCCTGTGCATTCTTGGCATGAGTAAAACCTGCACATGGAAGGCTGTCAACTGCCTGCTCTGTTTGCTCGGATTTGTTCTCGAGACGGTCATGCGAAAAATGCATCCAAAACCCTTACCCCTTCCCTGGAGATAGCCCCTTTGCTTCCAGAAACCAAGACCCACAACCCAGAACACAAGACAAGAACAAGCACCATGGCCAAACACATAAGACACCCAGTTGTTAAAGATGGGGCAGTTTCGGAAAAGCCAATGCTCTGTAAGCGCACACCCGCCCCCCGAGAGCTGTAGTTCTGCAGCTTTACAACCTTTAAAGAAGGTTGTAGCGGCCGAGAATGGAGGCCGAGTAGGGCAAACAAGGCTTTCGTGCATCACTTTCATGCTTCTCTCGACACGCCGTGCCTCCTCAGGATGCGCTGTGCTGTCCAGGAGGTGCTCAGCTAAGGAGTCCTGGCAAAAGAGAGGCGAGGGGGATAGAAGCTTTAGAACAAAAACGCTACACTCACACACACACACACACACACACACACACACACACACACACACACACACATAGAGGGAAACATGTGGGCAACCGGTCTGAACTGCTGACGCAACTGGTCTGTGTGGTCAACACGCCTCCAGCCAGCGCGTGATGGCCTGGAAGATTGCAGCATCTACGGACATCATCCCTGACGTCCAAGAACTTCAAGATCTTTTGACTTTTGACGGTTCAAGTCTGTGCGCCAGCATTTTTGTCGAGCCAGGCCCAAGGATTCTGATTCAGCACTTTGCCATTCTCGGATTTTCTGAATTGGGACTGTTGTTGACAATGGGCATGTCATATACAGACATCCACCCATGCATATACATGTGCAGATAGAGATATCTAGATAAAGATATAGAAGCGGACATAGAAATAGACCCCTAACAGAGTGTGCGTCAAGAAGAGGCCCGCGGATATTCAAGGTATCCCCCCCAACCTTCCCCACCCCCCCCCCCCGAACATAATTTTGGGGGATGGAGGGGGGGGCGTGCTCAATTCTACAGTTTTTGGTAGGATTCCTATTGTGTTGATTAGGAATCCCATTAATTTCAAGAGGATTTGTATTAATAATTTTAATAAGATTTCTATCAAATTTCTAACTGGATTTCTATTAAATGTAATCGGATTTCTACTAACTGTAGCAGCAGTTCAACTAATTGAAATAGGAGTTGAACTTAGTTCTAAAAGGATTTCCATTATTTTGATAGCAACCCCATTAAAATTTATTCTTATCTTATTCGAATGAAAGAAATCTCATTCAAATTTTTGAAATCTTTCACATTAACAGAAATCCTAATCCTGTTAGATTGAAAAGAAACCCTATTCGAATTCATTGAAATACTGACAAAAATCAAGTGAAACCCTATTAAAAATACTATTTGTCAAAAATAACTGAAATGCCACTAATCGAAACTTAATTCAAACCCTTGCGCCCTATTGAATAAAATTCCAGTTTTTGTATTTTTTCAAATTTCTGAATTTCTATTTAAACAAATCGAAATCTGATTAACATTGATAAGGAGGGGCAGCGAGGGGGGGGGGCTCAACCCTAAACAAACCCTCAACACCCTTGAAAAGCCTTGAACCCTAAAACCCTAAACCCTAAACGCTAAAACCCGAATCCCGTAAAACCCTGAGTCCTACTCCGCCCCCACCCGCACCATAGGGGGGCACCACAGGGGGGAGGGACACCTTGAGTGGGGGGCGGGGAGCTGGGCGACGCTGCACTAGTGGATTTCGATTTGTCAAACATTGAAACACTTGCGTTTGGCTCCTCCGTTGTTTTTAAGATTTAGGCTGAAAGCGCTGACACAACGAACACTTGGAAATCTATAGGTTTCCTTCACTTCTAGGGTGGCTTTTGGTTTCCTATTGTTTGAATAATCGCTTGTGGATTTGGTGGTGACTAGGCACCTCGCCCTTTCATCCTTCCCTCCCTCGGCGCTGTCATGGAACGACTCTAAGCTGCCACGTTCAGTCGTGAAAGACCCCGAGGGCTGCGCGCGTCGCAGGGGCCGGGCCCCGTAAGCCGGGTCGAAACCTTCCTGGACCACCCGCTCCTCAGGCGGCTGCAACGTGGACGATGAGATCAACGGACTTCAAACAACATCATCTCAGCGATACTTTTCGAGTAGCTTGAAGGAGGCTGGCAGAAGTAGATTTCCGGAATTGGGAGTTCAGCACAGATGACGAACCTTACGCCTCCGACAACATGCGAGGATGAGAATCCAGCAATAGTAGTGGTGTGTGTGTGTGTGCGAGGCAATCGCAGTCAGGAACTTCGTATACGCTACCAATGCTACTACGACGACGATAAGAACGAGAACCACCACCACGGCAACTCTCGGTTATGATTGATGGCCGTCAGCTACTGCACTAATTGGCCTCGTACAGCTTACGTAACAACAGACAATTGCGGGTATCCGGGATTGTTGCGACAGCAGCTCGGACCAGATAGGCTGACTCAGCTGCTTGCACAGTTGTGCATTAGGGGTAAGTGAACATACTTAGTTAAAAACGTTGAAGATCAAATGAATCTTTCTAAGTCTTGCTGTTTCACTGGCATGTCCCCACTGCGAAATTCCACAACTCTCGACATCCCCATGTGTCGTTGTGCGCAAAACCGAGTGCAGCCTGAACAACCCTACGATATACTGAGGTGCACAGGGTGAACCATCTGCGTGACATCGCAACTTCATGCTGCAGTTCGCCTTGAAGCGCGCCGTCAGCGAGACGTGCAAGCCAGCCTCTGCTTTTGCTGTGAGTCTAAAGACGTACTTAGCTTCGACAACTGGCAGCCGTCATGCTTTTGTGCTTTTGTGCTTTTAAACTACAAATGTGTAGTATGTCATGGAATTAACTTGTCCTCTCGAATCTGTGAAAAATTGCCGAAGCATGCAGACCGAGCGGGTTAGCTATTCGCAAATTCGGTAGCGCTGTTCGGAGCTTAGCCAATATTGATGAATCCTGTGCACCTTACAGGGGGTTTTGCATCTGCGTGCGGTATCCCCAACGTGTTGAGGACTACTGTAGGGCTGGGCTGCATCATGAATGTCCAGACAGTTTGGCCAATGTCCGGATGCTCGGTCGAAGAAAGCAAGATTGATTTTCATGCGTTGAGGGTCTTGCAGCAAACCGGAGCCTCCCAACCACCCAGAAATGGGGGACAGATACTTGCACATCAGAACCCGGACCCTGCCTGCTACCTTGTACAAAAGTGGGGGATTGTGTGGTTCAGCAGGTCCAAAACTGGTTTGTGCGACAGGTGATATTCTGAAATCCAGCACATCACGGTCTAGCTGTCCTCGAGAAGTCGCGCTGCCACCTTGTCGAACTCCACCTCCGAGACTGTGCTTAAGACCCATCTCGCTGCTGCTCAACGTGAATACGTTAGTTCCCGCTCTCTGTCGAACCACAGCGCATATATGCCTCTGCAATAGCACGGATGTTCTCCTGCCGAAAACACAATGCCACGCATTCGCGAATACCAAGCGACCGCACCAGAAAAATGGTGTCAGGCCCTTCGGAGACCCAAAAGCACTCTGATGTTTAGCGTTTGGCTAGGACAACAGCACCGTGAAGGAACACCTTGCGGCCCGTTACTCTTTACCTCTGCTGAAGTCCATGTCATGCACAGTTCCGCGTCTCGACTCGAGGCCACTCCACCACACATTTGGAGGTTGCCGTTCCCCCTGCATGAAAGGTGATTCACCTTATGAAAACATGTAGAGCAGGGGATTCTCCTTGCGTCCCCTTCCCACGCCCCGGCGTGTTCCCTTACATTTTGCGCATAATTCCGGATGAGTTTCCGCATCTCGCGTGCATCTTCTGCGTCTTCGGTGTGGTATATCCATTGAATTCCTTATCAGTCCGCTTCATGCCAGTTTCATTTCCACCATGGTCGTTTCATGTCTGCAATTTCCACTTAATTTCCTTGTCGAATCCGCTTAATGTCCGTGCCGTTCTTGCCTCACTTCACCTTCATTTCTGTTTCAGGTTCATGTGGTTTCCGTTTCAGTTCTGTGGCATGTCCGCTTCAATTCAGTTTGCTTTTCAGCTTGCATCTGTTCCGCCTTGGTCGGATGTTGCGAATTTGTCTGCTCAATTTCCGGGCTTTCCATGTGGTTCGGTTCGGCGCGACGTTGCAAATTTGATCTGGGCTCCTTTTCTTTCGAGACTGAATCTCAACAGCATGTCCCTTTGCGAACGTGTCGCCAGCAACTACCAATAGAAGTTCATGCGCATCCGCACGAGGCAAAGCGACACAGCAGTAGCAATACTGTTCCGGTTGCATGTCATGTCTACATGGCAACTTGTCCCTGCGTTGAAGCCTCATTGCCTGCTGCTTCCATTGCATTTCCTGCATGTCATTAGCTGAGTCGCCGCCTCGTGTCCGATTCATTGATGGATGAACTTCGGAATTGTTCTGCCCACCCTTCTCGCTTCATATTCGGGGTCATTTCCGAGTGGTTCTCGTCGTTGCCGGAATCTGGGGTTTGGATGGTCGATCCGGGCTCCCTTTCTTTCGAAACTGAAACGCCCCACAGGAAGTTCTGCGATTTTCACGTTCATGTTCGTATGTCCAAATGGCACAACGTCCGTGCATCGTAGCCTTCCTTCTGCCACTGTGCTTACTTTTATACTACACAATGCTTACTCCCGTTCCTTTGCTGTTCATTTCCACGTGAGTTTTCTGCTTCGCGTCCGATTTCACGACCCCGCTAGTTTCCGCATTCTTCCACTCATTTTTGAGGTTTGGCCATTTCACATTCGGACATTTCCGAATCTTTCCGTATGCTCCGGATTTGCTCAGCCATGGCATTGTCAAATCTTCATGAAAATCACATTCGATCATTTCAGGATGTCTCCGTCTTTTCCGGATTCGACGTGTCGCTTCATGTCCGGCCATTTCCGGAATTTTCCGTCGTTTCCAGATTTACCCGACCATTGCAATTTCTGATATTCTTCCGTCATTTCCGGATTCTTCTGCTTTGGATTGTTGATTGAGGCCAGACTGAACCCCAGAGCGTGCGCTGTGGGGATTCAGGGTTCAGCGTCGTTGGGTCGTTCTGGGCATAACAGCTTCAACACGGTCCGGTTTCGACTGATCCTCCAGTAAGGCTGCCGAGTGAGATGGCCTGTTAGTGTACTAGCTAGCTGGAGGCAGCAGATCTTGTGCAGTTGCGATCTTGCTTTTGTCCGAAGTAGAAGAGGCAGCGCCACCCGATCTTCAATGTCCTCATTCCAAACCTGCACGAGATTGAAGTCAGCAACCGGCGTCCTTTGTCAGCGGCCGGAAGACACAGATCTCGTCCAAGCCTTAGATTAGGTTTTGCAGGGGTGAGATCTACCTCCTGGAAGCTTGCAGCTTCTGCCCCACAGATGCTGCACTACCACAGCTTTGCTTTTTGTCCAACTGGGGCCTTTTGGAATGCCTGGCTATCCGGAAATACAAGTCAGTAGCATGTGGCGATTCGCCTCTGCACCTTACAATGCGGGCAGTCAATGGCAGTAGTGTGCCAACAAGTCTGCAGCTTGAAGATCTCAACTCATTCGAAAGAGCTTACATAAACTAGAATCCCAAGGACCACACAAACTGAGCTTAGAACGGTTCAGGAACTCCGGGCGGAAGAAGCTCTTCATTTCCTGCGCGATTGAGATGCAGTCTGCAGGCATCCCTGATTTGGAATCCTGATGCAGCAGCACCAGCAGACGTCCCAATGGGCCATAACTGCAACTAATCTGGGCTTGCTATGGGCTCGCCTCACCGATTGGACCTGTCATGAAATGGCATCCGTACCGCTCGGGGCCTCGTGAACAAGCTCCCGGATGACCTGGAAGCATCAACTTTGCTTAAACCTTTCGGCTGCGCGATGCGAAGCTCTGTTGGCAGTGAAATGGGCAAAGGCAGTGGTTCTACTTGAGGGCGGGACACCTCTCAAGGATGAGCATTGAAGCCGATGACGACTTAACAACACAACATACAACATAAAAGTCGGGTAGTAGTTCTGGGCCACTGCCGAGATTTTGCTGAGTATCCCCCGCAACATTTGCTTCAAAGAAGCCCCTCCCCCCAACTCAGCCCCGAAGCCTGATAGCTCTGCTCGGCCGAGTCCTTCCGGGTTGAAGGGTGCAAAATGCAAGATGCTGAGAGCAAGATGTACAAAGCATGATCACATGAGCGCTTGGCTCATTCTCCGGGATCTTGCGGCGCTGTATGCAGAGACGCAGACAATCATGTGCTAGAAAAAACTCATCACCTTTTGCTTGGCGTCTAGATCTACCGCGCTTGGCCAATACACGGAGCGTCAACAAGCCCAAGTCTACAGGTGGTGCCTGCAGGCATTTGAAACACTTGGAACGCTGCATGCAGAGATGCGATCAAACCATGTCCAAAAAAATCATTACAGAGACGCGAACAAACAATGCCGACTCTGGCCTCCATCGTGCCGAAGCCCAAGCCAAGACCTCCGCCTCTGCGAAACTCTGTCCCTTCCTCTAGCACAATCCGGCATGATGCAGGCTGACGAGTGCAGTGCGAGCACCTGCTCCCTTCTGCACGCTGCGGCTCCTGGGCGCGGCGAGCAGACTGCCAGCGCTGTGTCAGATCCACACTTGGTGAAATATGCATCAACGCTTTCAGCACAAATAAACGTTCCGTGGATCTGGCCCTGAAATTTGCGACTTCATGAGGTCCGGGCCCGATATTGGATGTCATCACCACCAACGTGTTGCTGAAGGACCTGCATGCAGCGAGAGCCGTTCCTCACTAGAAACATCTATTCAATTCTTTCTTGTCATGTCAGCCGTCGCTCCAGGAGCTTTCGGAACGCTACGGTAGCGACTGGATAAGAGGTATTAATACGTGACCCATGACCACAACTCCACGTGTGTTCCAGAATCGGCGTCCACTTTGGGCCAGTGCCGATTACTGTAGGCACATGTAGGCAAGCAGACCAGGTAGAATGACATTCACACCTCAAAACGTGGCTGGTTGACACGACCCTGCCCTTGGAGTCGGTCAAACGCCCATCGTCCAAGAGCTGCAGCAATGTGTTGAAGACGTCGGGATGGGCCTCCGAAGGAAGCCACGAAACTGAAAAAATCTAAGGTGGACCTAATTGAGGATCATTGAGGATCGCTCCAGTTCACCACACGCCTTTTCCACCTCATCGAAGAGAACCAGGGAATATGGTCTTCGGCGAACAGACTCGGTGAGGGTCCCACCCTCGCCATAGCCCACATACCTCATCGAGAAAAAAGATAAAGAAAGAGAAGAGAGAGAGACAGAGACAGAGAGAGAGAGAGAGAGAGCGAGGCAGAGAGGCAGAGAGGCAGAGAAGCAGAGAGGCAGAGAGGCAGAGAGGCAGACGTGTGCTTTTCCAGCAGAACGCAGCCATGCAATCTCAGCCTATGCCTCCAAGACACCCGGGAGGAGCACCGATGAGTTTCGACACCGTGTGCTTCTCCATGAACTCGCTCATGTCCAGGCGGATCATGGAGTCCTCCGATCCGAAGAAGCAGGATGCCAAAGTCTTGCACAAAGCCGTCTTCCCCACACCGGTCGGGCCGCAAAACATCAAGGCTGCAATGGGCCGGGAAGGATTCCGCAGGCCCGCTCGTGCCCTGCGCAAGGCGCGGGATGCACTGCTGACCGCCTCCGCCTGGCCCACGACGCTCTTCGCGAGCTCTTGCTCAAGCTTCATGAGCCGTGCCGACTCGGTGGCCGAAACCTGTTCTACAGCGATGCCTGTCCAGCCCGCCACAACCTGTGCTACATCAGTCTCCGTAACCCATGCTGCTTCTGTTCCCTTCGACCAGCCCAGAACTTCACGCTCCTTGGCTTTCAGTTCTGAGGCCTCGTCAAACCTCTCCGCAGCAACAGCCTCTTCCACTCGTGCTCGCAAGAGCCGCAGCTTCTCTTCCACGTCAGCGCCTTTGGTTGGCGCAGCGCAACTCACGGGCTTCTCCAGAAACGCTCGGAGCCGCAGCTCGATCTCTTCCTGGCGATTCTTCAGCCGCTGGGCCTGCGAAACAGCTCATTGGCTCAGACTAGCTCAGGTGAGGACTAAAACAGAATAGTAGCTTAGTAGCACCTTTCTGCAGCAGCACTTTGGTCTCCGTCCCTTCTGCGAAGCCTGAGCCTGGGTCTGTTGAGTCCTGTTGTGCCTCTTGACCCGCAGAGTGCATTGGAGCTTTCAACTTTCCCCTTGTGAGGCACGCAACGTGGAACGCCAAAGGAGACGACATGAGATGTCCATCTCCTATTACCAGATTGTTTACTTCCGCTCGACTCCTGAGATCTGATGGTTCTTCTGGTGCGACTTCATTTCGTAAACATTCGTAAACCAATCAGGAAGCCAAAGGGTCATGAAAATTCATGAAAGGCTGGACATGCTTGGACCGTGACTTGTTGTGAGATGTTGCGAGCGAGACTTTGCGGGGACTGGTCTCGGGCCTCCTGGAACTCCTCCTTGGAGACAGCGACGGCCTTCTGCTCCCTGACAGCCTCCATTTCCTCTTCGAGCTTCCGCCTCTCCGCCATCTCCTCCTCGCGCTCGGCCTCGCATCGGCTCCGACGCTGGCGTACCGAATGCTAGCGCGTACGCTAGCCCCTAGCTAGCTCTTTCATAGTAGCTTTCAGTAGCTTACCCCTGGAACCACAGTTGAACCACCCAGTACGAGGAACCGCATGCATGGAGAGTTCTTCATACCTTTCGACTTTTGCCATGGATCTCTAGGAATGCGGGCAGCGTGTCTCCAAGCTGTTCCGGCCTCGAGGAAGAGTTGCTGTCGAACCTTCGCACCTGCTTCATCCATGACATCGATGGCCTGCGAAGAAAGCAGAGGCTGAACACTCCCCAGTCTCGAATCGGGCCGAAGCCCCTATTTGAAAACACCCCAAGACGCAGCACCCGAACAAAGGCAGCGTCATCCCGCTTCAACACTAAGCGCCATTAGCCACCCCTGAAGGCATCTCATCATGTCCCACCCTGCTGCGCGCAGATGGGCCGAAGGCCTTGTCGGGCAGGAATCGGTCGTTGATATACTGCGCAGCCAGGCGGACCGCCGCTCGGATACTCTCTGGCTCATATCCTTAAGCTCGGAGTAGTTGAGCATGCGTAACGTAGTGCAGGGTTTGCTCAAGCCAGCATGGTCAGCATAGCTTCGGCATGACGCAGGTACACAGTCACATAATCACGTAAAGCTATAACTGGGCTCAGTGGCTTAGCTGGTGGTGGCGCTCGTACCTGACAGTCATTGACGCATGCGATGTGCGCCCCGGCTCTCCCTTACAAAATCTTCTCTCCCACATTGCACCACAAGCGTTTGCACAAGCAAGCGCAGATTCAAGCGCCACTGGCTATACTGTACTTCTGCATGAGCTCCGGTCATTCGGTCATTCGGGCAGGGCACTTCGGTGCCAGGCCCAGCAAGATCTGCTCGGTTTCGTCCTGGACGCACCGAAGCGATTGTTGGTGCGTGGTGGTCCTATAAGTGCTGAGAATCGACAAATCCGGGTGTATGGGCTTCAAGCTCAGCGCAGTGCTACGATAACTCAAGCTTGGGGAAGAGAACCTGGGTGCCCCATGCCCTGATCATGCACATCACACTAAGCAGCATTCAGGGGGTCGTGTGCAAAACGTCGGCCTCCGTTGGCTCTGGCACAAGAACAGGCTGGAATCTGCGCTCCAGGGCTGGATCCTGACACCACGATAACACCAAGCTTATATTCACAGGCCTGGCGCTCATCAATTTGTCTGAAAGAAAGAAACATCATGCGGGTCTCCATTAGACTCCATGTTTTGATGACTTTTCTCCAACCTTGAGGTTGTGGAAATGTGTGGATGTCATACATCGGCAAGAGTCTTTAAGAGCTTCACAAAAGGAGTTGTCGTCTTTATAAGTCCTATACGCTGATGCACAATGCTTCATTACGTTTTCATTTGGCTTCAACGAACTCTCGGATGGATGTTGGACATTTCATGCCTGCTGCTTATGTGTTCCAAACATTGCTTAGCTTCGTTCAACATCCTTGACATTAGAACAGGTCAGGTCGAACAGTCTCATTGTGCATGAAAACCGCTAGGGTAATGATTAGAATTGCAAATCCCACAATGGTGACTCCGAATACGAGCATGTGTCGTTCGACCAACACGCCACTAGTCCCCAAGTTGTCTGATTGTGAACCTGCTGGTCGCTACATGCCTTCTCAATGTACTGCCGGTACTCGTCGAGAGTGGTGGCCCCAATGCATTGCAGCTGTCCCCTGTAACAGATGGAGGGACGGGTTTCGCGAGTCAACAAAGAAAGGCACGTGCTGACTCATGGAACTGTAGGCGCATGTGAGAAGCGGGGATAGTCTGCTCACAAACTCGGTTGACCCATCAGGTATGATTTCCAGTGAAAGCCCGGTCCGTCTTACAAGCTTCGCCGACCCGGGGCTGCGTGTTGGAGGGCTCGGGAGCATGAACCCTCCTTTTGCCCTTCTACACCTCCGGAAAATGAAAATGTCGGTGGGTGGGTTCGGAGTTACCGGGCAACCGTTTCTATGGAGGATGTGGAACTCACGGCATCGGGGCTGGGCATTTTTAAGGGTCTGTCTGAACCTTTGTTTGGGCTTTGGACCGTCCGCGTGGAACTCCTCGGGCATTTTCAAGGATCCCCGTCTCTGAGCCCCCCTGAGGGACCTCCTGAGTCACAACCCCCAATGAAGTCGGCTGCTGCTCTCCAGGGCTCTATCCCAGCACGGCCTTGCCAGCGCAGGTTTGAGGAGGTTGGCTGCATCCATGCCTCCACCTTCGCCTGCATCGGATCATGTGACGGTTGTTCGAAATTGCTTCACGGCAAAACGACCATTCTTCGCGAAAAGCAGTTAACTTGTCTTTCGCGGGCCCATCGCGGACTTTCGCGGAGCATATTTTACACCCGTATTAGTTTCAGCACAAACAGTACTAACACAAAACTTCGCGAAAGCGTGATTTGTCTTTCGCGGGCCCATCGCGGACTTTCGCGGACCCTCATTTCCATCATCTGATGGTCGCCCCAGTATAACTCGAAGACAAGGGGGGTTTTGAACAACCCTCATGTAGCAATGTAGCGCTGCATGCTTTCTGTAACTCAGCCTGTGTGTCAAAGGCTCTGCGTCGCATGCAGGTCTTCACTACTCTTGAGGATTCTTGAGGGACACACGACCACATGGCAGCGCAAACACAGAGACTGCAGCACCACTTTCATGGCCTCCGCTGCTGCCTGCGCCGACAAGGGTATGAACCTGCGACATGCGCGAAACCCACGAGGGCAAATGCTGCACACTGACGCGCGCACCTGTAACATCTGAGCTGCATTGAGATTCTGCCCTTGCACACAGCCGGGGACTGTTGGACTGATCAGGAGCCTCATCAATCACGAGGATCACCCGCCGGTTGCTCTCCGACACTTCCTTCACCTCAAGCAAAGCATAGATTCGTGGGTATGTGAGGGTAAGTGAATGCAGGTGCCTGCGGAAGCCAACAAGAAGGCTGGAAGTCTCAACGAGACTCGAGATGCCAAAGCCTCGTGCTCCCTTTGGCGCAAAGCCACTTAAATCAGTTCTCGAAAGCACCTCGTCGTAAGCAAACATAAGGAATGGAAAGCAGCGGAAAGGGAAGGAAGATGGAACTTTGTTCACACTGATGCGCAATGAGAAGCCCCAAACCCAGAAACCCAAACTCATAACTGCCCATTCCAATTCAGATTTCAGATTCTGAAGTTGAAGCGACAGTACTAAAAATCAACTCCCTCACCCGCTGAGCACGCGAGCCACGGCCCGGAGGCGCTCCTCGAAGTCCCCACGGTACCTGCCCGAGCAGGAGAGAGCACATGGGAGCCATTCTGCAGCAGCAAGGGCCGAAAGAGTTTTTGGGCCAGTTGCTTAAGTTGCTCTGCTTTTCTCCCAAGCGTCAGGCGGCAGACCCGACGTGCTCAGGAACGATACAGGGTGACTGTCGCACTGAGTCCAGGAGATGATAGGAGATCTTGGGAGGGAGTGTGCCTTTCCACAACCAGAGAGGCTCAGAATAAGCCAGGTTTGGCTTAGGCAAATAGCACCAGGCTAGGGACTGTGCCAGAATGTACTGCCTCTTGAACAGTCATGCAGTTTTCATAAGCAGGTTTGGGGGGGCAGGTGACGGTACCGGAGTTTGACCTCCATTAGAAACCCCTCGTTCAGGCAGGTGACTGTCTCGGAATGCGTCCTGTAACAGGGAAACTCAAGCGGGCAACTCGCCGGAATTTGCCTGCTTGCCCTGCCGAAAGGAAGTGGCAAGTTCGACAGGAGGGTACAAAAGAAATACAAGAGGGTGCACAATGGTGCAACATCACAATCTTTGGCCTCGTGCCGGCGAGGAGGAGGGCAAGATCGAGACTCAGGACCTTGATGAAGTGCAAGGCAGACCATGCAAACCATTCAAACAGAGGAGTTGCTTGGCCGGCTATCAGGACAGTCCTACTTGTACCCACATGACTTCAGCCTTGATCCTGAATGCGAAGTGGAATCCGCACAGAAACTCGAACACTGGCTTATATCACATCGCCCCAGAACCGTGGGAATGCAGTCAACGGCTGAGCAAACCAATGGCCCTATGGCCACATTCGAGGCGAGCGCCCGCTTGTTGCGGAGAGTGGGGGGCACGCGGCCCTGGAATTCAGGATCATCCAGGCTTCGGATTGAACCCGGAAGAAAACCTTGAACATGATGTCGAACCCCTTGCATCACCAATGGCAAATTCAGCTTTGGGTTTTAGGCAAGGACCTTCTTAAAATTCATTCATATTTGGTGGCATTCGTGCTTGCAATTTTTTGTAGCAGTCGTGCTTGCAGTAACAAGCTACTTGAGAATCCGCTTCATACGTCTGAGTTGCACTTGGGCGGGCGGAACTTGCTGTGCAAAACTGCAAGCATGTTGAACCCGACGCAAAGACCCCGCCTGCACAATTCGTTGCGCCAGGCCACAGGCGATCGAGGTCTTGCCTAAGTTCTGTCGGGCCCTAGGCCCGTCCAGCATTGACATCCCTCTCAAGCCAAGCCCTAAAACCAGATGGCGAAAGTGCTGCAACTTCTCTGCGCTACAACATCAGGCAAAAACATTGGGCGTTAACAAAACTATGAAGTCCATGTGCTTCACTGGACAGTCAATCCACCATCGTATCCCAAGAAAACCTCCAACATCTCCAACCTCCAAAACTTGATAAACACGAGCCGCAGACAGGCGCCCGTGAGACATTGCAGGACCACAACCAAAACTGCAACGAGCTGGCCTCGATAAACCGCCCACGTGACGCCGCATAACCACAAACCACAACCAACAACTGCGGCAGCGACAGCCGCAGTAAAAGAACCACCCTATAGTGCCAACACCTCTTCTCCCAACTCTCACAACGAGAACCCTTTACCAAACATTCGGGAAAATAACGATGCATAAACGCACAAACAAATGCTTTCTTATATGATCATCCATGGTCATCCCCGCCCTGCTGAACGATGTGGAAGCTATCCTGCAGTTTCGGACGGGTTGTTAAGCACACCTCGCCGGGGCTTTTGTCTCTGTGGAATTCTCTGGGGGTTGGCCATCCAGGCTTTTGCGTGGGGCGCGACTCTTTGCGGTCATGCTTGGGGGGTGGGCACTCACTGTATCTGGGGGTGGGCATCCCAGGCTGCTTGTCGGACTCTCCATCTGTTCTCTCGGGGGGCGCGCTGCAAAACACTCGGAACTACTCGGACTCTCTGCGGGTGTTTCACTCGGACGCTTTGCAGGCTTGTCTGGGATAGCTCTGTCCTTGTCTGCGGGGTGGGCAAATCAGGGACGAGGTTAGGAGACTGGGCCGGACACTGTGCCAGGAGGCGAGGAGAACGGTTTGCTCAAAACCGAACAACCCCACACCGAACAGACAACCCTCTCTACATGCCGCCGAACAGCCCACTCCTGCTTCGCCCACGAAGACAGGGTTGTTTTTTGACCTCAGGCTCAGGTCTATTTTCGGATGCTCGGATTGCTTCGGTTTCGGCAGTGCTGAGCTGCCCGCCGGCGGCCTAGGATTCGAATCGTCCTCTCCAACTGGGCCTCACGACCTCGCAGACACCATGGGAAAGCCCGTTTAAAGCACCAGTCGCAACCTCCCTGCTAACCTGGTAGCTGTAACGCGAATCGAATTCCGACACAACTGGGACATCAGCACAAGCTGCTCGCACGTGACATGCTAGTGAATGTTGAGGGATTCAGTTGCCAAGCTTCGTCGTTGAGCCATGGTTTTAGGGATTCAGTTGCCGGACAGGCTCACCTACCAGTTGTGCTGAGGACACGAGGAGTGTCCACCACTTGGATACTGCAGCCGTACTTGTACATAAGAGATGCACCGCTCTATGTCTTCAATCGCACAGCTTGCTAGGCCCTAGGCTGTGGCCCTTCACACAAGTTTTCCAAATTCAACCTGAGCCCGACTCTGACCTGTCTATGACTCTATGAGAGCTGAGCTTGAACCGCCTTGGCACCCAGCCCACCAGCGGGTCCAAGTGCCCCTCCTCTGCAGCTGCTGTGAGATCCTGGCATTGGGCCAGGCCTGATTCTATTTCATCGTTCCGTGTGCTGTATAAGTTTTGATATTATGTGTGTCACGTATGTGTCAGTGTGCATCAGCGTTTCACGGCGGACGGCGCTTTCCGAGCTAAACAGGACTGAGCTTGGCCTCAGCAAAGCGCAAGGTCTCCGTGAGGTGCAGCTCAGGCTCCTCCTCCTTCGAAGATACCTGCAAAGGAACCAGATAGGACCGCGAGGAACTGCAAAACAACTTCAAAGAGTCACTGGCCATGCTGAAGCACGCAAGCTTGCTGGGTGTGCGCAGTGCGACGGGCCGGATCTCCAGCTAAAGCCCTCACCTGTAACGGACCTTCACCTCATCTGCCCATCTGAGCTCAGAGGAATGTGTCAAGGCTCGTTGTAAGCACCAGGGCGCGAGCCTGGTTTGCCTGGGCGTCGGACACGGATGGCGTGGCCTTCCCAATCACCAAAATTCGCTTGTGTCTTCACAGTCGTGTAAGCCACTTTGCATCTTCCGACAATCGCACGTCTGCAACATTGGGCCAACGCATGAGGCATCACAGCTCTTGCAGTGCAGCGCACACCTCTGTGTCGAAATTTGCAAAGACCTGGCCAGGGCAGCCCTCCCATTTGTTTCGTTTGCAAGCCTACTGCAGTTGCACTGTCAACCTGGCAACCTCTAAGTTCTTAGAAAGACTAAAGGCTGCATTCGAGCAAAGGCCACGTAAGGAGCTCTAAACTCCGAGCACCATTACTCCAGTACTCTCCTGTGACATGAAAGACCAGCACCTGCGGTCAGTCGACTGTCAGTCGTGTCCCCACACAGGTTTGCTCTAATTTAGCCCGAGCCCTGCAGATGCCTTCTTTCGGGTTTCGTCGGCACTTGCGCAGCCCAGCATGTGCCTCAGCAACTGCAGCTTTACTGAGCGTTCCCTTGGGGAATCTTTGGTTCGTTTTGAGTTTGCTTTTGATCTCCCATAACGAGACTCTATTTCCCCTAGCTGCTGATATCAAAACTCTACTTCCTCGACTGTGTGCTTTGATCTGAGAACCCCTATATCTCCCCTGTTTTTGGAATGCGAAGACCCCCTACTTTCTCTACATTTACCTTTGCGCTCGCAAGGGAACCCCTCTGGTTCTTTAAGTCCGGGGCAGTTCTATTTTCCTTTTTCTTGAATTGGAACCTCTATTTCCAGTAAATTTGATTTGGAAGTCTGCACTCAGCTACATGGTATTGTTAGATAAATCGCTCCTTCTAGTCGACTAAAAAAATGCAACCCCATTCCTCGGGCTTACATTGCTTCTGTACATTCTTCTGTTTTTGTGGCTGTACACCCTGCGGTTCCAGAAAAACTCGTTTGACTCTTTTGGTCACTACACTTCCGTTTTCATTCGATGTAAACCCCCGCTTCCTATTGTGGCGTCTTGTGGGGTCAAGGCATCCCAACTCCCGATTTTTTTGCAAAATTTGCTGGAGTTCTGGTCCCAAGAGCGGCAGCATTACCCAACCGACGCTCACCTCAAGTGCTTTATGGGCGGTTCTGCAGCTGGCATTTGCACGTGTAGGAACTTGTCCGTCCATCGTTTCGGCCTTCTGCTCAGCCGTTGTTCCCGACATGCGAGTCGCAATGCATTTGTCCTGAACAGCCCACATGCTCATTTTACGCCATCTTGGTATTTTCTCCCCACCTCCCTCGGGCTGCGGGAGACTTCTTACAATCTACACAGCACTCTGGAATTCTCCCCAAATAGTGCATCTGCGGAAAAAGGCTTCGTGTTCCCTTTCATAAGCACTGGAATGGGGGTGGGGCGGAAATCACAATGGCTCTTTCCAAAATGGAAATATGCTCGAAACATTTATATTTGCAGCTTCTTTCTGGCTTGTTTTGAACATCAAACGGGTCTCCTCTCCAATTCAGAAGAACTGAAGTTCAACCGTAGCACGGCCCTCCTGCCGCAACCCCTCAACAAAGCCCGCAACACAACCAGGGTTCCAAGACGTTCCAAGATTCTCGCCCAATCAGCTTGGTGCCCAAGCTTTCATCCTGGCAGCCCGCAAGCTCCGTGATATCCCTGAGTGGCTACGCCGGCTACGCCCTGTCCCTTGGGGTGATTGGGCACTGAGCAAGGGGAGAAATCACCCCTGGATGCAATACATGGCACTTACATCCCGCTCTCTCCGTTGATCTCCGCTGCTCCTGTGCCATCAGAGCCTTGAGCACATGCTCAGAGGTGACCTTGGAAGTGTGTTTCGACGTTTGCCGGCGTACTGGCCTTCAAAGTTGTGAAACCTTCCCCCCGTGCTGCATGCTTACTGTACCTGCGGCTGCTTGCAGAAGCTCATTGCAGAAGGAAGAATAGAGGAAAGAATAGATTACTCGTTCTCCTGCTCTTGGTTGATCAAGTGTTTCGGGCATGAAGGTCCTTGGCAAACGCGCACCCAAACTTCTGGAGTGCAGTGGAGAGATGTGGCTCCCACAGTGACAATCAGGCTGTTTGCGCGAAGGGGTATTTCACGAACGGTCAAACTCCGCTGCATATCCCCAAATGGGAGAGGGGTGGACCTCAAGCCCCCAAGAAAGAAGGAAAGAAAGCTTTGGAGCTGGTTGCCGAATCACCAGGCGCCGTGCTGCCACACTGAGTCAAGAGGAGGCCCTCAACTAAAGAAGCCCTTCAGATGAAGGATAAGAAGCAACAAAAACAAGGAGATGCGTGGAACTAAGTGAGAAGTGCCTGTCTTGCAGCGGGGGCTCAGAAAGTGTTTGCTCGTGTGTTTGGCTATGCCTCGCTCAAGGCATTCGCCAGGGAGTCCGCCACCAAACGCTACGCACTCAGGCAATGGACAGAAAGACCGTGAGACTGAGAACCCCGAAAACCGCCCCAAAGCCGCACCACAGAATGGGGGGTGTGGGAGGGGGTACCTAGACCAATTCCCTGAAACTCCAGAAACCTTCTAAGGTCTAAACGTAACCCTAACGCCCTAACACAGAACACCCTAACACCCTAGAACCCTGAAAGGCAAAAACGCTAAGCCCGAAACCCAAAAATCCCTAAAGCCCAAGCCCCAAACCCTAAAACCAACCGCACCACAGAGGGGTGAGGGTGAGAAAACCTACGCCCAAAAACCCGAACACCCCAAACCCTAACACCCACCCAACACCCCTAGACCCTAGGCCCTACGACCAACCCACTTTCGCTGAAAGCTCAGCCATCGACCATGGCGCAGTCTTCCGTCTTTGCTACCTGCAGCGCCTCCTCCAAGACCTCAGACATGTGGCGACGCGAGAGGGAATTGCAACTCCTCAAACTTCTGCCCCAAACTGTTGCAGCACATGAAACCACCCGACGATGGGAAAAAGAGTAAGGGAGGATCCGAATTTGTTGGAACTATAGCTATAGCGGCAAGCACGTGTTTTAGCAACTGGCGCAACTGGCAGGCTCCCAGCCTTCGTGGCGTCTTGCGTCAGTGGAATCTCCACATTCTGGCGTGCAGCGGCGCCAATGGCAGATGCACACATGTTTGGACGCAGGGGCAATTCTTTGTCGCTTGCAACATGGTAAGAGTGTCAAAGACAAGCTGCAACCAAAATACAACAGTCAATTTGCCAAACCAGACTCGGCGCTCAGAACAAAACAGGCTGCATGATGCTGCTTGCACCCTCCCGTGGCGCCTTGCCACCAGTGCCTGTGCCGACCATGTCGTGGAGCTTTCCTCGAGCCTGGTCGATGAGTGTTCGGTTCGGGGCCGTGTAGGGCATAGTGAGCTTTGCGCTCTAAACACTTGAAAATACCAGCACACACCATGACACACGAGCGCTCTACTACGCAGTGAACAATCAAGCACAGCAACTCAAGACCCAAATCAAGCACCAAGGACGGCATACCCTGTTTTGCAAATTCAACAGCAGGCGGCGTCGACATCGTCCTGATCGCACCTGCTTTGGCATTTGTGCAGGGCGACAGGGAATTTATACGCCACGCTGCGATGTCTGCTCGTTCCCTACGCGGGCGAGTCCTCACTGTCACACTCACTCGATCCTGACGCGGACGAGCTCTCAGGTCTGTCAGACTCTGCGCTACTCTCGGACTCCGTGTCCGATGCATCTTCCTGCGGGAAACATCGCCGGCAGCGCGACTTCTCGCCTGGCTCATCCGCCCGGAGGAAAGCAGATCCTCCATAATTCCAACATCCACACTTGGTCGTCCAAAGGCGAGGAAGTTTGGACCCCTCGGCACAATCCCTGATGTGCGCCTTTTTGCCGATCACCAACAGCGGACGCTGTTGCAAGGCTTCTACCTTGGCCGCAAGCTCTTGCAATCGAACCTCCACGTCCGCAATCTGGGCTGTCGTCTGGCGCTGCACGCTGTCGTCCTCACTATGCTTCTGGCGCTTGGCTAGCTTCCGACCCGGATCGAGATCAGCTTGACCCAAGTCAAAGCCCTCGAGCTCCGCATCTTGAATGTAGCGCTCGATGGCCTTGCTGCCCCATCGTCCGATAATAAGCATGATGGTGCTAACACGCACCCCAAAACGGCTCAGCATTTGCGCGCCACTGACGCGAAGACAATGGCCATGAAACCGATGCACCGACCCTGCACCCCCAGGCCCAGGTCTCTTCAATTGCACTTTGTTCTGCGCCAAAACTGAACGCACCACGCCTATGACTTCTGTCTTTTCCATTCACTCACCGCTTCGACCAGGAAATAAAGGTGATTCTGGATCCCGAGGCGCGCAAGAACGGAAGGCCAGGGCCGCGTGGTACGGACACATCTCCTTCTTGACAAAGCCGCAGTAGCACCGATGCACTCGCACCACCAAGTTGCCAACAGGGTCACTCTTCGCCGCCCACAGCGTTAGAGACACAGTACCTGCCACTTCATCAATTTGCATGTGCTTGGAAAGCAGCGCCGCTATCTCAATCTCGCGCAGCAGGAACCACACCCCAAAAGAAAACAGCGCAGCCACAAATTTACACGAGGCATCTCACCAAAATGGAAATGGCTTCAGCACGAAAGGCATCCTTCAGGGCCGGACCACCAATACCGCGATCCAAAGATCTGACTGCATCCTTCATGGCCAACTCAACGTCGGCGGGCACCGGTTGGCGCACTCGCACCCTATGCTCTCGACGAGCCCTGCTGAAGAACTGCCGCCCCGAGCGGTACCCGCCCACTTTGAGCGATGCAGCTACCCGCTCGATGACCTCTGTCGTCAATGGCACAGGCGGGACTTGCCACGCGCTACAGATGCGACACCAAGATCGCCACCTCGAATCCTGAGGCCGCTTGTTGCTTCTGGCCCAAATTCCTTCGCGGAACTCCTGCAACGCAGCTTGCCTGTTCTGCGGCAACGCTGCCTCGAGAGCCCTCTGCATGGAACCCCCACTTGTCAATCGTGGCGCTGGAATATCATTGCGCCCGACATGAGGCGTCTGAGGCGTGCACTTTGCTCCTGCTGGCTGGCACCCGGCTGTGGAAGACACTATCGGCGACGCAAATTTCTTGAAAGTTGTGGCCACGAGGCACGCGCAAATGCGCCTGCAACTGCTGATCTCCAACTCCGGCAGCCAACATATTTGCAGCTGTTTCAGGGGAACACACGCCGCACTCCTCCAGTTCTATCAACACTTCGCCCGGCACCCCAGCATCCATGGCTGCTTGCACCACGCCAGCAAAGTTGTTTGAATACACGCTGTCGTCGGAACTAAGACGCGGCAACTACTTGAAAAACAAAATACGCATTCCTACACAAGAATAGCGGCAGACACATCACTGCTCAAAAGCAACTCGCGAGGCGCAATAACACAGTTCACCAACACAAGCACTGCGCAAGACAAGCTTTTAACTTTCTCTCAGCGGCCGCCTCAAACCGACTCTCACCCTCCGTGACTGCCAACTCCGCCGACCAACAACACACATGTAGCAGTGCATCTCGATGTCGCCGATGTTGCCGTAGGCAGTGTCGCCCATCGCAAGTAACGATTCATCACTGCCCCGACATAGTAACTGCGCCGGAACTGCCCAGGCGCCTGACGCTCGCAGCCATCATCCGCAGCCACAGTCACAATCCGCAGCCACAGCCATCGCCGCAGCCATCTCACGCTAGGCAAGAGCTGTTTGAAATACGCCTACCTGGCACACAGTGGCTCGAAGCCGGGCCTTCTTCGAGCCCGCGCTGGCGGAGTTCCGCGCTCTAATGTGTCATTTCGTACACAAGTGTCCTACACGACATTGGGAGTAACTACGACGAAAGCTTTTGCGTGGAAGGGATACAAGGGCCTTTTACCTATCGCACTTCCGCGAACCTCCTGCAAGAACCCCGAAGCGCCAAGAGGCCTCTTGCAAAGAGATGCCAGCGGCCTCCAAGACCTTTTCAGCTGAGCTCCGAGACTCCGCTTGACTCCGCTTGACTCCGGGTTGTGCTAAGAGGCTTCTGAGCTTTGGCTCGCAGATGGTTGCAGCTTGGGTTCTGAAGCTTTCTGAAGCTTTCTGAAGCTATCTCCGTGTGCTGGGCTCACTTGCTGGGCCGCAGGCCCTGCATCCCTCCTCATTGCCCTCGGCAAGGATACCCACGACAAGCATCTCCGTGCCGACCTTGTAATCCATGGCCAAGGTCCGAAGTCCTCTTTTGGTCTCGCAAAATGCCCCTCCCATTTTTTGTTTGAGCTTTCAGGGGTGTGGGGGTGGGGGGGGTCAGGCTCCGGGAAAGGATGCCAGGGGGTCTGGGCAACCACCTTTAGTTCTAGCTTCGGAATCCCGAAACTTCAGACAACCTGGGCCCAAATCCCCGGACCCACATGACTACCCCGCATTCTAAATCCTGCAACATTTTCAATTCTGCGACTGCATGTCATACCACTCCTAGATTCATCAACCCTCAAGCCGACAGGATTCCGTGGTGTCGCATCTTCTCTCGGCTGAGTGCGCTGACGTAGTCGTGACCTTCGCACTGCGAGGGATTTGCAATTGGCTGATACCAGCGTAAACTGACCAGAGCAGTACCATGTGAGCGCTTCAAGACCTGTCATCAGCGAGGCACTCGGCACAGCAACTCGAAGCTGAACACATGGAGGCCCATGGAGGCCATGTCATTCTTAGCAGCACTGAGTGCTGGGCCCAGCTTGCGCGACTCCGCCTGCGCTAGCATCACAGCCTGCAACAGCATACGCGAGGAGCACTGAACCCACAAAAGCGATTCCCACTCCCCCGAACCGGCGACACCATGCACAGTGGAACCGGCCTTCATGGAGCCGGGAGAGAAGCGCTCGAACATTGCGCCTGTGGATGAGAGCGAGGAGAATTTGGAGCCGTCGAAAGAGCAGTAGGAGAGAGGCGCATACATGGTGTGGCTGGTGGTCGGAGGTGTAGCCCTAGTCTTCTGCAAGTATAAATTAAGACGAGTACTGTCCTTGCATCTGCGGCGGATAGCATGTTAAAGAAAGCCGAAGCAGCAATCGCAGAAGCAGCAGTACTAGTAGCAGCGGCAATAGTTTAGCGGTAATAGTAGCCATCGTCGTAGTAGAAGAAATACTACCAGTACTAGCAGCGCTGGCCGCAGCAGTAGTTGTTAGTAGTTAGTCATGGGTAATGGGTTGCATTTTCCCTAAACATCCTGGTGTTTCTTGTGGGGGGGGGGGATGGCGCATGCCACGGCACAAAGACGCCGGGCGTTTCAGAGTTCATCCGACATGCAATCCTGCACGAGTTCCTACCGAGAATGAGGGGTGGGGTGCTCAGCCATAAGTAGTTGGGACAAGTCCCCAGACCAGTGTTCGTCAAGCTCGAACCCTGACAAGAATAAAAAGCCTCGAAATAAAATTTTCATAAGGTGAATAGTTGCACTTCTTCTGCAGTTGTGACTACTGGTACTACTAAAAACTAGACACCGATTATCCCGAAAGCAATCAGTGCGAAGATATCAACTGACACGTAGAGTTGGTTGTGTTGTCAGTGCGGTGATCGTGGTGTGGTGTAGTAGGATAGGAAGCAGGTGTCGCGTCGACAGCGAAAAGGACGCGAAACGCAAAGAAGATGGAATAGAATAGGCAGTGTAGAGAGGCCGTGTATAGCTGAGGCGACGGTAGCGCGATGACGGCAATGGGGTGATGATAATGCGGTGATGGTAATGGTAATGCGATGGTAGCGTAGTGCTAGCGTGGTGATAGTATGTTCTTTTTCCACTGCAAGTCCCCAAAGTGAGACGGTCACAGCAGCAGACGAATCAGATCATCCAAGCTCCACCTGCAGCCACAAGTGTCATGCTTACGTTCACAGAATTTGCTGCGCCGTTTTCGAAGCTCCAGAGTTCCGCGCCCACGGTGTTTGCGAGGTTTTCGAAGCCCCGGAGTTCCGCGCCCACGGTATTTGCGAGGTTTTCGAAGCCCCAGAGTTCCGCGCCCACGGTATTTGCGACGTTTTCGAAGCCCCATGAGTTCCGCGCCCACGGATTTTGGACGTTGTCGAAGCCCCAGAGTTCCGCGCCCACGGTATTTGCGAGGTTTTCGAAGCTCCAGAGTTCCGCGCCCACGGTGTTTGTGAGGTTTTGGAAGCCCCAGAGTTCCGCGGCCACGGTATTTGCGAGGATTTCGAAGCTCCAGAGTTCCGCGCCCACGGTATTTGTGAGGTTTTCGAAGCCCCAGAGTTCCGCGCCCACGGTATTTGCGACGTTTTCAAAGCTCCAGAGTTCCGCGCCCACGGTGTTTGCGAGGTTTTCGAAGCCCCGGAGTTCCGCGCCCACGGTATTTGCGAGGTTTTCGAAGCCCCAGAGTTCCGCGCCCACGGTATTTGCGACGTTTTCGAAGCCCCATGAGTTCCGCGCCCACGGATTTTGGACGTTGTCGAAGCCCCAGAGTTCCGCGCCCACGGTATTTGCTAGGTTTTCGAAGCTCCAGAGTTCCGCGCCCACGGTGTTTGTGAGGTTTTCGAAGCCCCAGAGTTTCGCGCCCGCGCCCACGGTGTTTGCGAGGTTTTCGAAGCCCCGGAGTTCCGCGCCCACGGTATTTGCTAGGTTTTCGAAGCCTCAGAGTTCCGCGCCCACGGTATTTGCGACGTTTTCGAAGCCCTAGAGCGACTTTCCAGCTACGGCAGCTCCGGGCGTCCGCGGCGTACTACGTTTGTACTACAAAAAGTCGACTTTCCAGCCACAGCAGCTCCGGGCGTCTGCGGCGTACTACGTTTGTACTACAAGTACTACGTTTGTACTACAAAAAGTCGACTTTCCAGCTACGGCAGCTCCTGGCGTCCGCGGCGTACTACGTTTGTACTACAAAAAGTCGACTTTCCAGCTACGGCAGCTCCGGGCGTCCGCGGCGTACTACATTTGTACTACAAAAAGTCGACTTTCCAGCCACGGCAGCTCCGGGCGTCCGCGGCGTACTACGTTTGTACTGCAAAAAGTCGACTTTCCAACAACGGGCAGCTCCGGGCGTCCGCGGCGTACTACGTTTGTACTACGAGGAAGAGGAAAAGAAGAGGAGAGGAAGAGGAGATGAAGAGGAAAAGAAAAGGAAAAGAAGAGCAGAGGAAAAGGAGAGGAAGAGGAGAGGAAGAGGAGAGGAAGAGGAGAGGAAGAGGAGAGGAAGAGGAGAGGAAGAGGAGAGGAAGAAGAGAGGAAGAGGAAAAGAAGAGGAGAGGAAGAGGAGAGGAAGAGGAAAAGAAGAGCAGAGGAAGAGGAGAGGAAGA